TTATTATGAAATACTTTTGTCTTTAAAAGGGTCCTGGGTATTTGGGCCCGCTTAAGGCAACCATGATTCATTTATACATTTATTAGGATTTAGCGACAGGCTGTTATCGAATTTGATTTCCAACTTTTTTAGGTCTAAGAGAAACCATTAAAAAAGAGAAACAAATCTGCAGATCTTTCGCACTTATGTTAATTAAGTTCTACTTTCTCCAGTTGGGATCTGCAGGAAACTAAAAGCCGTGATCAAAATATCTTATTGCGGTACTCTGGGTCTGTACAGTAAAGTTAGGACATCATGACCCGGAAATAAATTAGCACGACACCTGCAAACCATATGAAACAGAAGTCGCTGATCTGGAGGAAAATCAAAAACTAAAAGTCGGTCAGCCAAACCATGGTTATTTTTATGCACCCTTCGTCTCAGCTGTCAAAAACAAACAAGCAAACAAATAAATAAATAAAACTTTTACTACAAAGCCAGAAGGGCAACCGAAACCAGTCTAGCTCAGTAGTTCTCAGTCCTGTTCCTGGCGCCCCCCTGCCAGGATGTTTTCATTCCAACCCTGCCTTAATCAAGCTCAGATGGTCGTTAAGAAGCTAATAATGAATGTGGCAGGTTGAAGGCAGTGTGGGCTGGAATGAAGATATTCTGGCAGGAGTAGGATGCCAGGAACAGGATGCTCCTTCGCAGAAAACAGTGAGAACAGACTACTGAAGAGCTTTTGAACTTCGCTAAATGTCGTTAAATGTCTCAGACGTCCTCTAGAGGAAAAAATGAGTATTGCAAGTACATTTGACAATTCTTATAAGTTTCTTACTAATACTTAGTAACCATTTAAACCCATACTTTAAGTAGATGTGTTCTAGTGATACACTAATCTATTATAGGCGATTTAGATTAATTTGAGCATATGCGGTAAAAGCCAGAAGAAATAGAACAAATACACAGGTAGGGCAAATGTCAGATTCAAAATGTTTGCCATCAAACATGTTTCTGTGAATTAAAGGTATGATATGGGTAACTTTACCTTTATTATTTAGCCCATTATGTGATCAAATTTAAATTTTTGTTAATTATTTGACTTAATGTAGCCTACCCAAATGAAGGAGTATTCATGATTATAAATCATTGGTTTGAATGTATATACAATAATTATGGCATCACTACACCCTAAACTGATACTTAAATAATGATAATTTGTTCCTGAGAAGAAATCTGAAGCTATTGGATTACAAAGGCTCTTCTCGGGAGCAGAGTTAGACTCAATGGAAAACTATCGCACCAATCAGTGCCCTCAATCACTGTACCATCATTTAGCTTCAGTAGCCTTCATACATGAATGAATGAAACAAGAATAATAAATGGTACATAATTTATAAAATATTTTACAAGCAACGGTACCCAGAAACCGACTGACTCCCGAATATCAGATTGTATTTATTCTGCATGTAGGAGTTTTTGAGATGTGGTCACTTGCCACAATTAAGCAAACTATAGTTACCATAAAGGGAGAGCTAGCACTAATGACATCCCAGAAACATGGGCAGGTAAGAATTGTAGGAACTGTACATTCAGATGTACGTGCATGTGTGCTCACACACACACAATGCAACTTAGTTCAATGAGAGAAACAGGGGCAGGTATTTAAATACATACCCAATAGGGATCAACACAGAGATAGGTGTGGATATTTAACAAGCACTAAGAACACAGGTTTAAACACCAGGAGAGACTAAAATATCAAAAGGTAACTGACCATTACAAATAAACAAGGAACAAAATAAAGGAACCATAACAAAAATACCACCTAACATAGGTTAACAACAACAATAAACATTAAATTTTAAACTTGGTTGATACTGACTACTGGCCAGCCTCAAACTGGTGACAATGACAATAAAGGGGAGTGTGAATGACAGCCCTCCACCCAGCCCATTAAGCCCCACAGCAGTCTGGGGAACACAAAACCACACCAGGAGCTAAGGACACTAGGGTGACCAGTGACATCTGCTGGCCAACAGGGGAAATGACATAGTGAAAAGGGGGCGGGGCAGGGGCAGATGCTGAAAAAAAAAATATTTCAGCTGTAGCAACACAAAGTTCGAAGTTACATTTCTCAGATCCACATACCATGTATGGAAACACATGCTATTGTCCCAAAAATGAAAGCACAAATAAACTCAGTGTGAAAGCTAAGACAAACATGTAGGGGAATTCAAACACACCTCATGCTCCTGCAAAATACACTAAAGCACAGCACCGTGTAAAGAGCTGAAAAACATGCAAAAATGCTTACAAGTGCAAAACAGTAAACACATCCTAAGTGATAAAACAATCTTTTGCAAAATTTGTTTCCCCAAAAATATAACAAAATACTGAGATGCTGCTAAAAAAGGATGTCAGTAAATCTTCAGAATTATTTTTGTAAAGCATAAATATATTTTTTTAAATTAGAAAATTATAATTAGAAATAAAAAATATTTTAAATGTAGGTTCATGCTGCACAATGAAGTTGGGGTTACGTATGTCTGAGAAAAGTAATTACTGACAATCTGTGGTTACTATTACTACTTAAACTCCCAGTCACCGGTTGTTCTTTTAGTCCTCGGCGTAGTTTCAGCAAGCGCTTGCATGAGTCGTTTTGCACAAGGCTGCCACAGCAGTCCTGTTTTCACAAGCGCCCCCTGCAGGTAGTACTGGCTAGTTTTGTCTTGCTGTTGTCCAGTTGATCCTTGCACAAACTGAATGGGGTCAAGGAGTTATTTAAGCTAGCATTCAAGTGGCCAGCAGTGCTGTCGATCTTGGTACTGAGGACAGAACTGATATCTGGGTTGGAGCGTGGGATGGCAGTTAGGGTCTCGGAAATCTCCTTATCACTCAGGAGGTCTGATAGGGACAGATTGAGTGTATCAGAAAATACATTTTTATTGAGAAAAGGTCCAGTGCATCCAGATGCAATGTGAGTGCGTGTCATTAAATCACTAAAAAACATTTCCCATAATTCATTTGTCAGTAGAACAAGTATTTTACATGTTGATTCTTGAAACATCTGGGAATTGTGCCAATCAAACACCCCCCCCCCCCCAAAAAAAATGCAACTTTCACTTTTATTTCAGTAGCACTTCATCCACATCCCTTGTGTGGATGCCTTTTCTTCCTCCACATTTCTGCCACAGTCTGGTGACATAACAGAACATTCTCCAAAACACCCTCCTGAAAATGGCAGATACAGACTTATATAGAGTAGTACAGTTTATTAGGTTGATACATTGTATATATGTATAGATGGTTTGTGTGCAGGGGTGTCAGAGGGTCATGAAAACCCTAGAACCCCCCCAATTAAATCAGGTCCTTGATTCTGATGCCTCGTTTTCAGTTCTCTCAGAAAGTTAGTTTAATAATTACTGATTCTGATTGGCCACAGAGGTGTCACACCTGGCTCATGGGTATAGGAAGGCCAGACAATCAGCAGTGCTCTGCCCTTGAGGACCATGATTTGAACAGCCCTGCCTTAGCAG